GTTTTGTTTTGACTTGTTTTCTAGATATCCAAAGACGAAGTTCGTTTTTTCAGCTAAAATAAGTGTTGCTGCCGCCTGTGACTAACTATCCTTTATGATGCTATCGGCGAAATGAAAGGAAAGAATATCCAGTTGTTGATTTTCTTCAGTATTATGGACTGTATTAAGCCTGTGAAGCTAATATCCGTATTCTCTATTTCAGTTAACTGATGAAGGCGTTTACCATGTGCGTCTGTTCTGTACTGCCATTTCACTCTAATTATAACTGTTATATCTTCAGAAAAACAAAAATGCTATATGCAGCAAATTCAGACTTTTTTATGAAGATAGGGGGTTCATGGAATTTTTAGCAGAACTGTAGTAATATTCTCACTAAAGAGCTAAGCGATGTAAGGCACCTTATAGTGTGCCTGTGAGTTACTAGTGTTTCATTAGTGCGGGTAGGGGAATTGCTTGCCTATCATATGGCAAAAATGACGAAGATATGTACTAAATCACTTAAATTTACTACATATGAACTAGGTGCCGCGAGGCTCGTTTATCGCAAGTTTCTTGCACTGATTAAGTTGGTGAAACAAAGTAGCATTAGATTTAAAAATTATTCAGGAACTTTCGTTAGGAATCGAACATCCAAAAAAAGGTTTGAGCGAAGTTCCTGTTTGAAAGTTGCATTGGTAATGTTAAGCTGCAGTCTTTGTTGCTTTTTTCCAAACGAAAGGGTAAAAGAAGTAACTCAAAAAGTACTGGAAGTGGTTGTGAGACTAAAATGGACGTCCAGCATCATTTTTATAATTTGCTGTTAGTCTGGTCTTCAGTAAAGTTTCATGGAGCCATAGTTCTAGGGGCGAAACAGTTCTTAGGATCTGTGAAGGCTCACTCCTGTTGCATTCTAAATGAGAAAATAGTAATGAATTTAGTCAGAAATCAGGAATAGATAAATAACCAAATTACATGTTTTTTAGCAAAGAATTTATGCAGTTGTGAGTTACCTTGAGTTCATGAATATTAGATTAGGTCAGCTACTATTACTTGTGCAAAGCATCACATGGGCTTAGTACCGTATCGTTATGCTTTTATTATTTTGCTCCCATTTAAGTATTCCCATGCATCTGCGTCTAGTTTAATAGGAAGACATACAAGCAGAGTTAGTGTCTGATAAACCAAAAGTTACAGTTGTCAAAAAGATTCTTAACATTTATCCACAGCCAACTACATTTAATTGAGACACAGAACACTCATCTTCTAAGACTGTATACTGCTGTTTTGCGGGCAACTAAAAGCTCAGACGCTTAGTTATCTTGCTACCGATGTTATTGCTGGGGAAACTGTTTAATGACAGTGATCATGAAATATGATCAGTGAGAGATGTACAGTCCAGAAATAAACAACAAACATACTTATCGCTATCTTATAATGTATGACAGCAACAGCATCAAAGGCACGTTTTTTCCTATTTTAAATCAGACTGATTTGAATCAGTATGCTAATTAGAAACGGGTAGCTCTACTTACTAAACTGATCTGTTTCGTTACGGGTTTCAAGCACTATACTTGAGTATACCATAATTCTTCCGACTAAATTGAAATATACGACAACCAAGAATACTAAACTAAGCAAGTGTCATAAATATTGTTTCATTCGTACAGACATGTTGCTCAAAGTAGTTAAATGGACATAATTTAGCCGATAAAACCAAAACACGAAATATAGGCCAGTCGAACTTACCTAACAGAAGATAAAGGATATATATATTACTGTCAAGCTGAAGACATCAGTCAGTTGTTCATAAAAAAATAGTTTACAGTACAACAAACCTTTCTTCAGTAACATTGTGCACTCATGGTCTCTCTGAAAACAATCAACTATATGACTAAGCTCACTATGACTTGAGATATCATCCCAGCGTGCAATGAACGTACAGTGTAACGTAGTCGGACGTGGCGAATAAAAATTAAAAACAGCAAAATTAACAACATAATCTAGTTATTTAATTAATAATATATAATGAAATGTGGTTACTCGGACGCACAGATGACCCTGGGCAATACATTAAGTTTACATGGTTGCGTTGCGGATAAGTTCACCCTTTCTAACTTTTTGAATGTCCGCTTTAAAGCCCAGAGGGTTCGAAACCCCTTAGCTGCGACCTCCCGGCAATGGGCCGTCGTCTTAAGATCATGACTCACTGTCACCCCTAGATCCTAATGAGGGCGGACTACGGGTAGTGACACATCCCCTATGTTGTAACTGTTAACCTTTGGATCCCCAAAGTACACATAGACTCACTTTTACGCGTTGATAGACATCAGCCACCTTTTAGACCAGTTTATCATGTTATTTAAATCTGCATGAAGATCACGTGCGTCTTTGTCTTCAGTTATTACTCACCAGATTTTTACATCGTCAGCGTATAATAACATTGGAGACTGTACTATACTTGGAAGATCATTCACATATACGATAAAAAGTAAAGGACCTAGGACGGAACCCTGGGGTACTCCACTATGTGGTCTCCAGATGGAGCACTTGGATTTTATTCTTATTTTCTCTCTACGACCTACTAGGAAATCCTTAATCCACTTTAAAAGAGGTCCGACAACTTCAATAGTTCGAGATGAAAACCCTTAATCCAATCCCTAACCTTAACCATCAACTGTAAATCATAATTCTTATTCTTCAAACTGCTTTATAACCCTCATTTAGCCACGGCAAGTAGGTGGACACTCTCAAGTTTGGTTGAGCGTCACTCAAAGATCGTCCATAAATTATAGTCCCATCAAAATTTCAGTGTACATGTAGTACGAGCTGACAAAATAGCATTAGATAAACACATCACGGTACACCCAAATGTGATTTTTTGCGAATTCTGGACTTCAGTTACGGGTATTTCTAGTAAAACTAATGATGTTAGCAACAATATCGAAGCCTTTAAGACCATTTAATTTTAGTACATTTCACCATTACCCACTAACCGAAATTTTATTTGCATATGACTCCGAATGTGATTAGACTTCTAAATGCATGTAGAATACAAAAGTAGATGATCTATTTCGAATGACTGGGGACCTATTCGAGTTAGACAGAAACGATGTGACCAACAGTCGAATTCAAATTCACGCCTCATGTTCAGCACCTAACGTGGATCCCCTCTTAGTCATATCAAAGTTCTATGACTGCTTTGAGGACCGTATGGCATAAAAGACGTTATTACGGAAAGAATTATTAAGAATGCGTATAGGAAAGCTGGTTTGACCGCCATCGGATGGTACAGTTCATGCGAGACGTGTTAACATTCACGTTGTCAAGGAATATAGCAGTTATAAAAAGAAAGTTGACAAAAAATTTAAATATTGGCATTTGACTTATGGATCTACAGTTGGGGATATGACGGGTATAATGACGAATTTTAATAGGCGGTTGTTGTAGTTACCCTGGTATCATTCATAAATATTCAGCTATGATAATTCGAATTAGGAATTATCTAACCAACGCTCAATCGACTATGACCTTCCGAATACAACACACTTTCTCATGATGATGTGTTTTCATCTGTAGCTCTATAATCTATAAAAGAACATAAAGATTTTGGGAGTAGTTCAGATGAAATCGACAGGGCCAGTCTCAGTGAAAAATCATAAGTGATAAGAAGTACCGAAAACGTGATAGATCACCTACCGACATAGCAAAACTCTCCTGTATTATTTGCGAAACTTAGATAATCCGGTTTGGAAAGCCAATCGTCAGAAGTAGTACAGACCCAGAACGAACCCGGTTGAACACGCAGTACTGAAACTTATTCCTGGACGTGCGTTTTACTGTTAAAGGTGCCACATGTAGTCAGAGTCCGATGACACTGTAGTGTTGCGTCGAGTCACGCTTGACTATGATCATCACTGCAGGAAGTCTACGTGCAATTTAATCGATAAGATCCCCAGTAGGCCAAATATCAGAGGGCAGTTGATGGCTGTAGTCGAGAGGTATTTGTTGGAGATCTCGTGGTATCGCAATAATACCGAGATCGTGCCAAACGAGTACAAATGGAACTACTGAGCAAACGTAAGTTCGAACAAGGTCACAATCAACGGAAGAATGTATGTATTTTGGTACGGTTAAACAAACAAGTACGGCAAAACAATCTTTGGTACAATTGGTTATAACAGTAGTTATTTCCATTGCACTAATTGCATTCTCTTGATAAAAGTAGGTCACTACAACACTTCACCCAGAATCAAAAAGCGCCAACCCAGTTATTTCAAGTGTCAGGAGCAAAGAGGTTCAAAGAAATACTTGATAAACTATTGATATATCGAGAAGTGATCAATCTAATTTGACTATCGGTCATAGGAGATACGGAGCACAAAGTACCCACTTGTGATCTCCTTTGGATGCGTGACCAAGCGCCCTCAGATAGGTGAGTCCATTAAAACAAATGCTGTTGGCATCAAATGTCGAAGACTTACAGAGCTATCGATTTTGAGTACTTATTTACCACTAAACTGTTAAAGATACCACAGGTATTTGGAGTTTAACAGAGATTTTACACGCAGCACGTTTTCAATCATAGGATGCACACCCGTCGAATAAAAAATAAGAACGTTTAAGGACGTGTTTGGGAAGCTACCAATATGGTGAGAAGCATTTGCTATAATCTGGCTAACAGTTGCAAGAGGTGAGTAATACATCATACCTACTGATCATTTTGTAAGGATGCATGACCGAGCACCTTCAGTTAGGGTGCGTGCGGTCAAACTAATGAGGTCAGAAACAACGTGGAAGATCTACATAACTATCTGTTTTGTGGGTTTATTTACCTCTACAATATAAGTGTTTTTTAATTAAAAAGCATGCTTGTGGAAAAGCAGATTGTGTTCTGCTAAATATTCATATAACGAATTTATGTAAAGTTGATGTTGTAAATGTTTTTTGTTGTAGGAAGGGGAGAGTCAATCAAATGTTCAGATCAATGTTTTTATTTGTTTAGTCACATCATTTCTTGCCTCATTCTAGACGCGCTATGTTAACTCACGCGAACTTGTAACAGGTTCGAAACTTAGCAACATCACCTCTTTGTTTGGATTATCAGGTTGCTTCAATCTCGCTTTTGTATTACTTTTGGTCGTTCCCAGTCTCTTTCTTTGTCAAAATTGAGTAAGTCTCGTGCGCTTGTGAATCTTCGGTATACTTTCTTCATTCCAAATAAGCCCACCTACTTTTTCTTACACTAGGTTTCCTTGTTCTAGACGTAAACTTACCAAATTATTATGAAAATTTTTATTTGGATTTGCAGTATTATTTCAGGGTGCGAGTCGAAGTTGTGTCTTTCATAATGATTCTGCAATGTCAGTTAACTGACACTAACCAGAATGCTGTTTAAATGTATGACTGAGTTTTGCTCTTAAGTTCAAGAGTTAGGAATGCAGTGGAACTACTAAAAATACAGAGGGTAGCTGCTTGTGCAATTCTAGAACCTCGGTGTTTACCATTGACAGCGTCGGACCTCTATACTTTGTCCTACCGCGGATTAAGGAGTAATCTGGTTTTGTTCTACAGAATACTTAAAAATGACTACGGACATAACACACTTTTTTTCCTGTCACCATATCAGGATAATTCAGAAAACGGGCATGTATAAGAGGCGAAGTCAAAGGAAATGCCCTTGTCATGCAGGTTTCACACCAAGTCATCAATTCTAGGAGCTGCATTTTCTGTCCATCTCTTCCAGCTCTCCTTATTGACGCTACTCTGCATTCTCCCTTAGTACTTTTTGGCTATCTACGAGCCGCTGCTTTTGCTATCATTCAGTTAAAACTTTGGTAGCACCATCTGTACTTTTCAGCACTGCTTAACATTAGCCTTAGTAATCATTAATAGCGTGAGGTTCATCTTTCGCGTGGGACATATCTAACTCATCCAGGTGCATTATGACTTACCCACTTAACGTTCCTCAAAATATGAATTTCCAAATACGTCCCATTCACTATGACAAAAAGTGGCTAAGTCAACATTACTAGACTGTCCGAAAAATCTAGAATCGTCCTTTCACATCGAGATACGAATCAAATGAAATATTCCTTTTCAAAACTTTGAATCCCAAATTCTCTGTAGCAAAGTAGTAGTTCCCTGGGTTTTTAGTTTCTAGTCACAGAAATATTAAAATATAAGTGCCTTCCATCAAATTGCCTTTTTCCTAAGTCGTAGATAGTGTGTTGCTCCGTAGTATGCATAGTACTAGTGGGTTTTGGATTTTTATAATCAGCTTGTGAGTTTCACCGAAGGAATGGACGTACTGACCATGTATCCTCAATTATCTAGTCAACAACTTACTAAATAAATTTGGAACTCAGTGGGTCAGACAACTTTTTGACTTGTGCCATGCGATTTCTATTTTTTTACACCAAACTCGGTTTAATTCTGACCTTGTTAACATGTTAACCAGATCTGGTTAGTAATAACAGAAAGCGTGCGTTAGTCCTGGTGATGAGACATAGCTTACACAATTTTAATTTGAATACATATGTGATGAGAGCTGTTGCGGTCTATCTAGCTGGCATGTTATGCCTAATGGAGATACCAAGTAGAATTCAACTGGTAAATGGTCGTCCCCAGATCTGTGAACGTTTTCATCCAAGAAATCTTTTTATTTTGAAAGACAATATAAATAAGTATGTCAAGTACAAAACTATTAAATAATTATATAATTTCAGTCAGCTCACATCAAGGCTTTTTGTCTGATATAGGTAATAGATTTCAGCAAATTCGTCGTTGTATCGGGGCCTCAAGGTTTCAGCGGTTTTGTCAAAGTTCCTGTAACTCGCTACCACCTTTATCATATAATCTGGTTCTAAGCCAATAAACACTGGGATGTCATAAATGTTTTGGTATCTAGGTTAATAAACACCGCATATTTCTTGTGTCACAACCTTTAGCACTTACCTGTTGTAAGTTCAGACAAATAATTACAGACGTTTGGTGACATGATGCAAATATATTCACTCGTCTACCATTAGATCCCGAGTTTTAATAATTCTTATACCCTTTATTCGGCGAATTCGTTCCAAAATCATGTTTGTATATCCCCAATCCTTTTTACTACCATCACAGATACCGGTCTCATTAATTCCAACATGCTATGCTGTGTGAGAACTGAAGCTGATGGAAAATGTATGTCAGGTTTACTGTTACTTGTCCCTGACCGACCTATCAGCTACTGAGTTTCCTGTACCTATAATATCATCAACATCACTGTATCAACAGCGTTATTTGTTTCTTGCCTTAATGGTCATTATGCTTCGTTATGCTCCTGCTTAAAATTGTCTAAAGCCAGACCATTCTGCTAACTTGTCTAGATTCCTTTGAATTCCTGTCAGTGTACATTTCTTTACCCAGTCAGTCAGTCAGTCAGCTACAACGTAGGATCAGGCACATATGCATCGGTTCAAGTTGCCATACCTCATTAGCACAGCAAGATGAACACCGGATTTATAGTAGTTAATTCAATGGTCTTAATGTGTAAAATAAAGATTGCATATGAGGATATAGTACAGAAAAAAAGAATTAGTTGGTAGAAAGATATGAATCGATTTTAATCTGATAGTTTAAGGGAATACAGAGAGTATGTACACCTATTTCATTGTGATCGATTCTGAGCCATGTCACTAAGAGTCTCCAACCATTGGTTACGATAGTCACATGGACCCCAGCCAAGTAGTCTGCATCTTTCTTTACCCGTCGCCCTATTAACGATAAATTGAAGTTTAGTTACTTGTTCTGGTGAATATTTGGACCAGCGTCCGTGAAGTAATGGAGAATTTCGACTAATGGTTGTTTTCATTACTTATACCGCTAATTTTTTGATAACGAGCAACTTAAATAATCATTTTATTTGTGGAGTTTTTTTAATAGAAGGGATTTTCCACATCTGAATTATTTAAGGTGTTCAAATATTTTTGTTTTTGATACGTAGAATTCAAAAATGGAGTGGGATAGCGAGAGTGCGCTACAGGGGTTTTTAATAACGATGATCGTCTGCATAGTATCCAGTGTACTTTATTATATGTTCAGGAATACTTTGTTCCCTCACCGTATTTCTGTTCATCAAGATTCAGAAAACTTAGCTCGCAGGAGAAAGAAAAATGACGTAAAAAAGTCCAAGAAAGTTAAAAAACGGAAAGTGTTAGTTGATTCTCAACAAACTGAAGAAATAGAAACGGACAAAACTCAAACGTCAGGCGACACAACTGGTGAAGAGGATGAACATCTATCAGATGTGCTTTTTGACGATTATTCATCAAGTAGCAGTGAGCAGTCAGTTGAAAGATCTATCCAGCCAGTGATATATGAAGAAAACTGTGATAAGGGAGATTCAGAAGTCGTTGATGCTTCTACTCACAAGATCGAACAATCTTATGTCGGAGGTCCCAGTTTAGATTTTTCGCAAGCTACATTATGCAGAAATCAGAGTGAGGATTCAGATTCGATTATTTCTCCAGGTTCTTCAGAACGTAGTCCAACCACAGATATTCTACCTCCAGTAAATGATTCGAAAGTTCCTCTCACTAAGTCCAAAAAGTCAAAGCGTCGTTCAGGCAAGCGGTTGGTTAGGTATGCGGATTTGTCTAAAGAAGCTATATTTGTTGAGCCTGCCAACATGGAACATTCTTCAGAATCATTAGAAATATCAAGAACTGACTGTCTTAAACCATATAAAATGGGTGGAAAACAGGAATTATCAAATGACTCTACATCAACATTGGAGTTGCGTACGACAATCAAAGAATTAGAAGGACAATTAAAGGTGAGTCGTCTTGTCAAACGACATGTAGTTTGGGGGTGATTGGTTCCCCATACTAATAGAAATTAAAGATCAAGTATCAGACTGTATTATTGGTCGTAAGATTCACTTGTTAAATTTTGTTTGCCGGATACGACTTTTTTTCTATTTCGAGAATATAATTAACGTGCAAATGTATTGATCAAGTAAATTAATCAGACTGGTAACTAATGTTTCATACATTCACTGACATAAACAAGGAGATATAAATTTTGGCAGCTATGCTCTAAAATAATTTAAATCCTAGAAAATTTGCAATTCTTTTGTATTAGCTAAGTCGTTATAATTACTGTATTATCACCATTTAGGAGCTTTGTTCCAAAATATTTGTAATAAGTTAAATTAAACACATATCTAATGTTTGAATCAAACCGTCAATTTTGAAAGACCCGTTTAGGGAGTTTCTCAACTCTTATTCCAACTAGGTATGAAAAAATGAACTCAATGATGTTAGGATAAATTAGAATTTGTACCTGACGTAATCACCAACTATTTGCAGGATGTAGTGTCTGATAATTCCTTACTTCATATGAACTGATGAGTTGGTATTCTTGAGAGTTAGGGGACGATTGCAACCTCTTTGTCATATTAGCTATTTTCTCTAAAAGAAAGATATGTATGATCCATACCATATTTTAGTCAGTTACAGAAAGTACTAGTGTCCGGGACTGTCGTTTATCATGTATATGTAAATTCTGCTACCTCGACGTGGTGATCGTTATGACCCTATCGGGCCATGTTGGCTCGAACAATTGTTCCTTTAGGCAGGTCGCTCTCCATGTCGCTACTACCACTACTAATCTAGTCTCCTTTCCAGGTCTTGAGAACAAACATCCTTCCATATTGTGAGCAACCCACTAACTACAATTCGAATGAAGTAGAGAGCAAGCTCTACATAAAGCTTTCTCTTCTATTATGAGTCAAGCGCTCAGACGTTGTTATTGTAACAGCAGACTTTAGCACTCAAGTAGTTAGGTTATGCTAATGTGAGATATGCTTCGGAGAGTCTTACAATGTCCTAGTTCAACAAACAGACATTGAGGACTGTCTGCCCCAATTATGCTCAGATAACTATTTTTAGTGAGTACCAACTTAGAGCATAAAGATAGACACCTGACACAGTGACCCCCACAACCAACTCAACGTTAAAGGTTTCGACTGAAAACTAGCGCCCTTCCTGAGATATATCTAGACTCTGGTTATGCTCTAGTGCGAGCATTCATCTGTTTGTGTTTTGCAGGAAAGCTACAGCAAAAAAACCTTAGAGTTTAGCTCAACGACAAAAAGTCGAGAGTATATTCAAAGAACAACTAGAGAAAACAACTAGTCAAAGTGACGTTCACTCCGATATCGGTTGGCATGATATCCGGATAACTGTAAAAATCATTAATATCTACGAGGAGCTGTAACGAAAAGGTTAAGAAGAATCAGGTTTTAATAGCGTTTACTAACTTGATAGATGCTCTGAAACATCCTATGGGGCTCAAAATACGATAAAGAGTGAGAGAAGCCTAAACGTAGAGTGGCAGAAAGCTTTCTCAATAATCTTGAAAAGTGGTGGGCATCAAAAAACTAAAGGCGGCGGCGACAAACAACGATATACAACTTTTCAGACTTACTAAACAAATGGGTATTAAAGACTCGAGACTTCTTAAAACTATTTCTGAAAAATACGAGACAACCATCCGCCATCAACCCAAGAGACTGAAACAAGGGCGAAACATCTTCACAGGCAGTTTAATTGCCCTCTGAGTACCCTTCGGTTGCCTACTTTAATCAAGCAACCTAACTGGGATGTCAACATGAATCTCCCTGACTCCTAATGAAGTAGAAAGTCATAGTTGATCCAAAGTTAGGGATACCAGCAAATCCTGATGGATTAACTCCAGAGATATATGGGGATATTAACTCAGTTTTAGCTGTTGAATTGACTAGAATATTAAATAGAGTCTAGGGACTGGGCATAATCCCATATAATTGATCACGATATCTGGTCGTTTCAGTCTAATAAAAAAACAAAAATTCTCTTGTGATAACTGCATAGGAGTCAGCCCGAATAATAGCATCTAAAATATTAGCCTCAATTATCCAACGCTTGACGAGAGTTCGTGAGGAGCGAATTCGGGTAAATGAGGCCAGTTTCAGACCTGGACGAGGATGTGTAGACCAAATATTCACTCTTAATCAGGTTTTAAAACACTTACCTACCGACCTCCAACCGCAGGTATTCTTCTTGTTTTTATGTCAGCATCTGAATCCGTATATTGACAGGTTCTATGACATCGTGTGTCATTAAAAGATGTACCAACCTTGTACAGGCTTTCTATTTGGACACTATAGGTTAAGGCAGAGCTTATGATGAACTGTCATCAGAGTCGATAACTTTAAATGATTTACGTCATAGTTGTTCACTTCCCCCCATTTTTAATTGACATTGTAGACTTTCTTTTAAAGATAACGCTCTCATCGTCTGATCAGGATCCAATCTATCGACAGATTCATTTATTGACTTGGAATACGCAGATGATATAGTCCTGTTTGGTGAAGACGCTAACAAAATGCTGAGTATTTTGATCGTCTTAAGGAACAATGCAAGGGTGTTTGGAATGCAATTCTCTCCATCTAAATGCAAAATGATGCTTCAGAATTGGTCTGCATCATCCCTAAACTGACGATAGAGTGAAGTGGTTGAGGGTATTGATGACTTCATTTATCCTGGAGGTCTAACCAACCCCAATTGGTTGGTTTCTGGCAAAATCTTGGCGCAAATTCAGAAAGCTCGACTGGTTTTTGCCAACTTGTGTAACTTGTGGGGTAGGCGAGATATTCATCTCGTAACTAAAATAATAGTATACTGCACATCAGCCCCCTTCGTTCTATTTTATCGCTGTGAAACTTGATCATTGATAATAGGGAATATTCATAGGTTACCAGTATTCGGTCGTAGGTGTATTGGAAACACTTCTCGTATGTTTTGGCGCAGATCTGAGGTGACTTAGAGTACCAGCTATGGTTGGCAAATCAATTGATGAGTTGGTAAATTTTTATCGATCGACACAGTCAGGATATGCAATACGTGTGTCCATCTACCTTTTATCTCGACGGGTAGTGATATCTAATGTAAAAGTAGGTGGGAAAAAGGTTATGGATGATCAAACTAAGACATTACATTGGTCTGTGTGGACACTGTTGGAATAAAGCCATCTTAGTAGGTGCAGACTACCTGGTTGAGGTCTGCGTGATTGTCTTAACTATTACTTGGAGAATATGGATAACATGGCTCAAAATCGTTCGCATTAGTGCACGTGTATTTAGTTGTTTTGTTACCTTAGATCCTAAGTTTCCAAATGACCGTGTAAGCAATCTTTCGGAGACAACGATGATCAGACGAGAGTCATCTAACATCCCCAACTCGGTAAGGTCAGGTTTCACAAGCATAGTGTAGAACTGCTCTCGCCGACGCGTAGATCTGACCCTTTACAGCCAGACTAACATCACAAAGGCTCCAAAGATGGCCCAGATTGGTATAAGCCGCTCTGGCTTTCACTATACGTGCATTGATCTCATCACTCACGTACTTTTGCAGCTACCTAGATACACGAACTTCTCGAATACTTCCATTTGCTCACTAACCAGGGTGAGTGCAGGGTTCTGCCAGTCTTGTAAAAGTACTTTGCACTTGTAAGGTGCAAAGCACATACAGTACCTACGGACACTAAATGCCAACTCATTAAGTGCGGATTGAATGGCTTGGGTATTATCGCACAGTAAGACAATATCATCCGCATACTCAAGGTCGAAAATTCTTTCTCCAAGCAACAGATTCACACCGCCATTACTTACATCCATTAGAGCTGTTTCCAGAACGTCGTCGATAGCAAAGTTGGACAGGAATGCTGAGATTGGGCAACTCTGTTGTTTAGGTGGTCGATGGGGACTTGTTGGTCACAGGTCAGATAACGAGGACCGTCTACTGCAAATGTGCGTAGACAGTCCGTTTCTGGTCAGCACTAACTACCGTCACAGTCATCACCGATGTGCCACCTGGCGCCCTCCCTTTGCGTCTCAAGCCTGAACTCAGATTGATCACATCGCGATTAACTACCGCTGGCGTGGTTGTGTACAACACTCCTGCTCCTTTTGTAGTACCTATCTGAACTCTGATCATGCCCTTGTTTGCGCTGATCTTACCTTACTTTCATCGTCCTAAACTGATCAATGTCAGCAAATTAGTTGCAGCTCCAGTTGCAACTAAATATCAAACCGAGGTAGGTTCAAAGCTAGCTAACATTCCACCGAAAAGTATAGATAAGCATCGGTTTCAGATGCATCACGCCATGAAAAAGTTGAGTAAAGTCGCTTGCGGCTTCGTGAAACGTCCCGATTATAAACACTGGGTTTTTTCAGGTTCCTTACAACTCATTGAAGTCAGTCAGTCTACTCCAATTGACCGCGAGTTTGACCACAAACGAAGGATGCTAAGCAGTGAAATTGGGCAAGGCTTGCTTAAGGATCGAGAAGCCTGGTGATCGGAGTGTGCCTATGAATTGAAAGTGGCAGCTGCATCTAGTACCTGCCGAAAGTTCTCTCAACTCATCTGAGCCACTAGCAGCAAGAAGTCTGGTGTGAACGAAACAATCTGTGAAGATGACGTGATGCCAATCACTAAAATCTATCGACGTCTTGGACGATGAGAAGAGTTTTTTGAAAGGCAGTTCAACTAGTCTACTGCCCTGGCAACACCGATCAGACCGTCGTACCCTCCATGGCCTGTGATGGCTGGTCCACCTAACGAGGCGGAAGTCCGCAAGGAACTCCAACTCTTGAAGCGCTACAAATCACCTGGCCCATGTGACTTACCTCCTGCAATTTTTAAAGATGGCGACGACTTTCTGACTAAGGAAGTGACTGTGTTGTTTACAAAGGTCTGGGAGCTAGAGAATGTACTAACGTCATGGAATGAGTCGATAGTTGTCCCTATCTTTAAAAAGGGTTCGCGTCGTTCCTGTAACAACTATCGGGGGATAAGTACAAGCTATTGGCTTCTGTCATACTTCGTAGGTTGTTCAAAATCCGAGAAAGGTTGACTCGCGAGGAGCAGGCTGGGTTTCGTTCTGGTCGAGGATGTATTGATCATATCTTCACCCTCCGCCAAACGCTAGAACACCGCCATACTTATCAAAGGTCATTGACATTAGAGCTGCCTTCGACAGGACCGTTCTCTGGGATTGTCTATTGAAGAAGGGTGTAAAAAGTTTAATAACATCTTAAATACCCTATATACAAACATCTTAGGCAGAGTAAGGATATACAACCACCTCTCTCCATTGTTCCACTCAAGCAGTCACAAAGACAGTAAAACTACTCTCCTTCCGATTATCGTTTTTTCGATGGATCTTGGACTGACTATTAAGTACAGGCTGTTATCAAAGTACTTATATTTCAAGCTTGAATCAATTGTAGCATGCATTATTTTTTATCTAATTTGAGAGTTAACGTCTAAAAATAAAGTATCTATTTTTTTGCTCAGTTATGTATGTGATTACATATTGTGAAGAAGAGATATTTTTATTTAACCAACAGATCAGTGAAACCAAGCTGGCAGAAACCTCCCAGTGGGCGAATTCTTTAGTTGAAGAAAACAAGCATTTTCGTACTAAGAAAGACGAATCTTCTCTAAGTTTACATGTACTGCAAATGCAATATAATGAACTCCTAAGAACGAATAAAACACTCGAACACCAGAACAACTTGCTGAATGTGAAGTTAAAAGTAAGTACTCCAAGGGGATAAAAACTGTTTCAGTATATTCGTGTTATTTTAGGGCAATCATGAAGATATACTACATACTTCTTGTTAATATTTTAGATGATTAGACAAGATAGCTTCATAGTTATTCTCGTTTTGCTGGGCTCAATATTCTAAGCTTTGATTGCTTTAAGTACATATAATTTTGGTCTTATTCAACAAGCAATAATCTGCTGTTCGTTTATTTGCCAGCTGTCGTAGATAAGTTTTTGCAAACAGGTCTTTGTCTCTTAAGCATTGAATTCCCTACCTTATCGTTAACAAAACAAAATCTGAACACTGGTAAATATCTGAGAATTTCTAACGTTCATGTCAAACATCAGATAAATAGCACCAATATAAAGTTAAGATTCATCAACTCCATGACTATCCAGAAACTTTTACATTGTCTTCTTTATTTACAAAAAATTTCGTGTTGCAAAATTTCCAAGTTGATTAGTTTTTTTATCGACAATCTTGGGTAAATTCTTTACTTCACTGTTTCACCCAATGTAAGCTCCGTTGTCCAGGTATTTCTTTGCTGGTACCCTGTATTTTAGTATTGACTCATATGAAAGGCAACCTCAAAGCAAAGTATTATTCCAACATTTAACAAAACTTCAACTACCAATTTTTTTGGAGAAAGTCTTGATCAATGACTAACATGAGCTTCGAAATACAATAGGAACTATAATCATCTATATCACTTTATTGTATAGCTTGACAAATACTAGAATAAAAATTGAAATTTTTTAGATCAGTTAGTTCTTGAGATTTAGCTTCTAATTTAGGGTTTAGCTGTTCTTATCAATTTTATTTCATATGAGTTATAAATTTTTAATCAATAATGTATATAATATAATAACGATGAATACGCGTTTTCGATAATTATTTTCACAATTATCAGTTGCTGCTTTTAAATACAATTTTTTTCTAGAATATTGAAACTGAAAACTGTGATCTGCAAAAACGTTTAGACCAGACAAATGCAGATACTTTAAAGGTAAAAAAGGAAGCTGAATTGGAATTGTGTAATTTGCGAGAACAGTTAACAAAACACGAAACTCAATTGACTGCAATGGCTAAGGCAATGGCTGCTTCTACTCCATCGATTCCTACTGGTCCTATACCAGAACTTATTCGTGCTCAGGAATTAGCGCAAGTAAGGCTATTTTTTCCTAATCCTTGTAACATTTACTAACAATATAATTTTCTACCATATATAAATATATATTCATTTGTACTTCGATTTTTATTGGTTCATATAAATCCGGATTATAAAATTGATTAATGAAAATTCCTGTTAGGTAAATCGCCAATTTTTTCTAAAACTATGTATCATAGACTTTTAATAGACTTTAGGGAGTTTATACCGATTTTAGTACAAATCTTCATTCAAAATCTACAGTAAATATTACATTTAAATATGGACATCAATTATGCTTGATAAATATATATACCAGCAACACTGAGTAACAGCTTTCTTTTAGGAATGTTGATGTATGTGCATAATTAATGTCCTCTGCAGGATATTCGCTTATTCACGGTTGTTTTCTCGTAAAGTGTACTTAATTCGACTATTCAAGTTTGGAGTGATTGAATGATCACAAAAACTCCAAGTAACGTTCCAGTACGGTCATCTGTATATATATTTACTTGTACATTTTTTATTTGGAGTTGTCAGTAGTTTCGACAGTGCTTCAGTAAATATAGTACTTCATTTACTAAAAATTGTTGTTAGGAAATATTATAGCACCGTAGGCTAGAAAAAAAAATTTACAATTCATATTGAGGATTATCGGTTATCTACTTTTCTTAATCGACCAAAAGTTTTCTCTGTTTTCAAACTACGAAATCACATCAAAAGAAACCCATCTTTTTAGAAAGTACGTAGCTTTGAAACTTTTAGAAAACGTTCTTTTAATAGTAATTCATCATGGCAATCGCTTCATGTCTTTAAAAAAATTCACACTCATCTTAAAATCGTTATTGAAAATAATTTTATCACTTAGTTACTGCCTACATTGTTTTATTCACTCCTGGTAAAGTAGATGGACAGTAGATGAAATATCTTGGTAATTATTTTTAAGCACGGAATTATGCAGTTTCTAGTTGCTTAACTTAACTCAATAGGTTAGATATATGCCTCTTCGTTGTATTCCACATGTTACTAATGATTATTTAGTCTTTGAATACCATAACATTCATCTGCGTGATTGAAAATAATGAAAAATATGAATCCAATAAACAAATAGCAATTAAAATAAAGCTTAAGTTGACAGAAAGTATTTTATCACCCAAACATTCGTTAAATTTCCTTATAAACCTTTATCATATGTAGCATATCCATGCCATCCTATGACTTATACCTAAAAAGAGAAACCACTTCACTTCCTACAACGCGAAGAACACAAAAGATTGGTGCAAGTGAAGATTTCATTGCAAAATCACGACGACACTAGTCGGAAATACACTCATTTATATAATGATTTATACACCCATTACTTGATTATCAATTATGAAAAAGTTATATATATGAAAGATGTTCAGAACTCTAAAAAAATCGCATACTCCATGTGATACTGAACTTAATTCATGTTAATTTAATACAAATAAACACCATAATGAAAATAAAACGAATATTATTCCGAGCAGCTATCGTATTGAATTAATAAAGGAAAATAATATTCAGCAACAATCATTAAGGAAAAAAAGTGTGGTCTCACCTTTTTATGCCGTCATATCGATATGGTTTTTGTGTATGAAGTTACAAATTTTTACAAATGACAATAATAAGTAAAACAGGTTGAAAAAGAAAACATTTATTGTATTTTTAAGCAAAGATAAATAGTGGCTAGCAGTGGAATCCAGGACGCGCGTTTCGTCCTGTTTGGGGCTCGTCAGCTGGATGTACCTGCATCCCAGAGTTAATGTTCACTCCGGGATTCGAAAGCTTGTGACTTAAGGCTATATCGAGGCGATCCGCACAGGATGCACATATGCCAACATGAGACTGATCAATTGCAGTCCTAAATAACAATTGGAAGATACAAGTAAAACAACATTAAGTGAATTTATTTATTGTTTTTGCTTTTTCGAAGCTGAAATAATTGGTTTACTTGTAAAATAAAAGTTAGTAAAATTTCTTTAAAGTTGAAAAATCATATCAAATTTATCTTTTAAAAGTAATTGTATATTTTCACATCATAATTCTCTGAATTTCAAAGGCAATGTCCAATGATAACTGTTTATTAAAATCACGTATTGAGCAGTTGGATTCAGAATTAACCCAACTGCGCCAAACAAATATGAGGCAACAACAAGATTTACAGGTAATTTTAGATTGATTTATGCAACATTGAAAATAATTGTATTCATATGATAACTGTCTTGTTTTCCATACTATCATAACGAAATGAATTTTGATTTTTAAAAAATCAGAATACACTGAACATTAAGATTATGAACCAAGAAGGTAGAATGAAAAGGTATATTTGAAAGAATGTTGGGATCCAAGACTTGGAGTAAATATATTTATTTCATTGCGATCGATTCTGAGCCATTTCATTCAACCTGTCCTACCACTAGTCGCTGTTATCGCTTGAACCTCAGTCAGATAGTCTACATGTCCTTACCCAGAAAAATAACCAATGACTTCATGGAATGTATTGAATTTCGGTTTGGTTTTCTCTCAGTTGATCAACATTTACTACATCACCAACCAATTCACTGTTTTTGCCTAATACCTCATGCCTAACCTCAACATTGCTTACTCGACCGTTCCACAATACTCAACCAGTGCTTCGAAAACATATATGATGAAAGGCCTAAAGCCTACGTATATCTGCTTTATTTAAACAAAAGTTATATTCTTGTATTTTGTTCTTCACCCTACCGTTATTCTTAAAATGCAAACTGATTTCCATTCCCTCAATACCTATATAAAGGTTTTCCGGGCTGAAAATCATAAATTACATTCAGAAAAAGAAACAGCTCTGGATGAATTACGCATTAAACGACAAGCAGAGTAAGTTACTTTCTAGCTGTCATTGGTTACTAATGTCGTTTGTCACTATTTTGTTCATTTCCTTTACACAAACTACATGCTTCGATAAAGTCGTAACTATCACTTTCGTATACTTTGGTTGTCTGGATCACCTTCATAGTTTGTTTTGCTTTAATAACTAGACAAGATAAAGAATTTCAATAGTCACATTTATGAATCTCTACAACAAGTATTATCTAATATTAAAAATGATGTATGTAAGGCCCCAATAAGTAGAGGTTAGATTTCTGACATTTCTTGACTTGTTGTACACCACTTCTTAGAATAAAAAAAAATCAAGTTGACACGTCTAAATAGTGCAAAAGACACAAAGCAGAATATTTTCGTACAATCCAAATTAAAATCGGTCTGATTATGTTAACATTATTACGTCGTTTCGGTCAAGATTATTTTTTTATGAAACCTAATTGTATACGATTGTGTGCGTGTGTGTGGATGTAGATGAAAAATCTGGTAATTGTAGTGTGAGAGTGATTTCAAGTCTCAGCCTTTTTAATGAAAAAGAAATCCATTGTTTAAATTCTTCAAAATCCAGGCAAATCAAGAATTATAAAAAGCGAATGAGAGAATAAAAGAAAAAAAGTGACCAATATTGATTCTGCTGCCTTAAGGATGATTCATAATATCTCATTCAAAGCTCTAAGTAAACACAAAATCACTCTCAGGAAAAGGATTAAACTTCAACTTACACACTAGAACTGCCCCAGTTCTGGAACATCTACTTGAACAATTACCAGAAAAAGTGTCATCTCATACTTTGGAAAACACCTCACATTTTGACAAGACAAAAACGCCTCCCACCTAACATCTCAAAAGAGAGAATGCGAGCTCTACGGCCCATCAAATATCTAGGACAAAATCGCCAATCTGGATATAGACTTCTATGGCCTTGTCCCCGTGTTAAACCAATGACACCGCTAGCGCTAGTAGCCTTGATTCAATATGGTGTATTAAACGAATAGGTCAAGTAGGGAAGACTAATTGATTGTTTAGTGCAAAATTACAGTGTCTTCGTAAATTATGAAAACCATACATTAAATACATTGGGTATTGTTTACTTGAATCTTCCCATCGATGTTTAGGACTGCGATTGATTAGTCTCTTGTTGGCATACATGTCTCGATATTGCCTTAATTCACAGTATGCACATGTGCCAATAAGAGACTGATCAATCGCAGTCCTAAACATCAATGAAAAGATTCAAATAAACAATACCAAATGAATTAAAACTTTACCCCATTGCACAAACGAGTGGTTTTAAGGACTCAGTAGCTAAGTGGATAATGCGATGGCGTTCGAAGCGAACTGTACTGGGTTCGAATCCCAGAGTGAACATCAACTCTGAGATGCAGGTATATTCAGCTGAAGAGTCCCAAACAGGACAAAATGTGCGCCCTGCATCCCACTGTTAACCACTATCCATATTTGCATACATTAAATACTTCATGTTCACATGTTCCATCAATTTTTTCTTACAAACTTCATTCCTTTATTCATGTTGTTACTGCAATTATTCTGTCTTTACATTCCTTTTGTCTTCGACTCGATCTTCTCGACATTCTGCTGCCATGCAGCCCACTTCTGATTGTGTTACATACTACTTATGTCTCAGCATAAGTAACATGCACCATAATAGTACCAATGACCCAACTTGTTTTTTCTTTGATTACCACAGACAAGTAGAAAATGATACTGTACATATGGAGTTAAAACGTCTGTGTCATGAACTAGAATTAGAGAAACAGAAAAATCAGGTCAGTTTATTTATTATTTCTAAAGTTATTATTTAAATTATAATAGTGTTGTTTTTTTATTGCAATGATATTACAAAAGAAAAAAATGTATAAGTTGAACAGTTTCACATCAACTAAACTATTTGTAACTATTGCCACTTTTAAGTGAGAATGAATAAAAACTAAATAAGATAACTGAAGTTAAACATAACGATCAACTAAACAGTGTTTTATGATAAGTGAATAAGACTGTGTTGTTTTATTTTCTCTCAGTATTTTCTCGTTGATTTAGAAACAATCAATACAAAATACCTACTACGATTCGTTAAATATTTTCTGTTGGTTCATTTTATTCTCTTTAAAAAAATTCTTACATACTACAAACACTTTTAAGATTGATCTAAGATACTTTGAATAATCTGTAGTGTCGGTTGGCATGTTAAGCCCACATATCTTATTCTCGCTTTCGGACAGGCCAATCTATTCATTCTACTTGACTCATATTTTGACCATGTTAATTATTCTCTTACCGATCTTGACTGTGTTTATATGAGCGCATATATGTGTACATTTCTTACCCTATTCATCACATGTCTGTAACTTACTTTTGTGTGACTAAATGGAGTTGGCTTACCCACCATCTCCACTGCGTTTCGTTTCGCTTCGCTCTATTCCATCCGCTTCATATACAAAATATATATATTCAAAGGTTCATTCTCGTTATCTGACTTATTTAATTCCGTTATTGACAAACGCGATTTAAGTCGGTGATTATATACGGGGATAGGCAATAACAAACATTCATACGATCAAACTGGAGTCAGATCCCGGGTCACTAAAGTAAAGAGCCAATCGACAACACCGTCCAATCTAAATGATGACGAAATAAAGGGCCCCACTAAAAATCATTGTTTCATTAGCGTAATTACTGAAAAATCTATCAAGTGTGATCTGAATAATCATTTGAAAAAAAAGAAAATAAGCAACACATTTGAAATATTATTTATTTAGAGTTGAAGAAATATTTTTGTTGTTGTTGTTGTTGTGCTTATTTTCGAAAACATTCTGTAACTTAGCAATATAATCTAATTCATAGTTAAGTCAAGTTTTGTAAAAACACCCTGTCATAACAGTGAAATTTGATAATACCAAATTATTTAGTTCAAATTCAAATTTTATTTTTGACATTTAAGTAACATATTATTGCTGGATATATAGTCAATCTTACATTAGAGTTTGAATTTGTGCAGAAGTTAACACTCATACGCTTAAGAGATTTGTACTTTTCAATCTTACTCACCCTGGATGGTGAGCAGATAGAAGTATTCGAAAAATTCGTATATCTGGGTAGCTGCATAAGTGCTGGTGGGGGTGTGAGTGATGAGATCAATGCATGTATAGTGAAAGCCAGAGCGGCTTATACTAATTTTGGCCATCTTTGGAGCCTTTGTGATGTTAGTCTGGCTATAAAAGGTTGGATCTACAACGCATCGGTGAGAGCAGTTTTGCTCTATGCTTGGGAAACCTGGCCTCTCCGTGATGAGGATGTTAGACGACTCTCTGTATTCGATCATCGTTTGCTCCGAAGGATTACTGACATCCAGTGACAACATCATGTTAGTAATGCAGAGGTTCGGCATCGTGTGTTCGGGCACAGAGACGATAATGCGATCGGTGTCACCATCTTGGAACACCGACTTCAGTTGCTTGGACATGTTCTACGAATGTCGTCCCAGAGAATTCCACGTCGTGCATTATTTGCCGACTCTGGAATTGGTTGGAAAAAGCGGAGAGGTGGTCAGTATATGACATGGTGTCGTGGTATGAAAGAAAGCTGCAAAGGACTGGCTTCTGTTGGTCCTTCACGACTCCCTGGTTGGGGTCCTAGAGATGGTGCTACACAGTGACTAGAGATGTTATCAGATATGGCTCAGAATAGAAGCCAGTGGCGATCCTGTTGTAACCTTCTTTTACTTTATTCATAAAAAATGGTTGTGTCTCCCTTACCTGAAAGATTTCTTCTGATTGTACTTTTCCGTTCCCCCATTATTACTATAATTATTATTACACTACCTTACACTAATCTATTCGTTATTGTTTTTTCTCTTCGAATTCTCATTGTTTTGTGTGGCGCATATATATTTGGTGCCCTCTTGTACCAATATTTATTTATGTGTTCAAATAAATGAATAACTTTTCAATTTGCAATTAAACGTACAGACTTAGAGCTAGTTATACGTTGTTTTTATAAAATGTATGGTACATATTGTCAGAAATTTTATCGTTGACTGACATTACCAATAAGAATCATAAAAAATAAATATTGCGAATATTTATTGATGAAATTACTGTTTTCAATACAAGAAATTTCAATTTATTCACAAGTTTTATTTTATTATTTAAAATTCTCTTATAGGAGTTGTCTATTTCTTTATCTGAGGCAAGAGCTGAACTATCACGAAGTTTACAAAAAGAAAAACGTCAATCTGAAATTATTAGCAGTCTTGAATATCAGTTTGCTGTAAGTGATTCTTTCATTAATGATTATTACATCCATCTCCTTAACATATATTCTTTTCTTTACAGAAAAGGATTATTTAGTATATCATCACGTATAGTATGTTTGAGTAATCTTGAACTACAAATACATCATGTGTCACATTGAAAAACTCAATGAATCATAACATAATGATATAAAAATGAGTTGAATATATTAATTACTAGTTCTGTTATGAAATACCAAACAATAAAATATCATTGATTGAATAAAAGTCTTTAAAAGTATTTCAAGTGATCAGTAAAGTAATGACATTGTGTGTTTCATTTTCAAAACTGTAAATTGTATTGTTCAAGACATCAAACACTAATAATTATGGATGAATTATGATACTCTCTTTACTACACTTTTAGATTTTTAAAAAAGATGTATAGATTAAATATAAAAAAATATTCACATATGTATACTTGAGTTTAAAAATTCTTTGTCTTTGTGACATAAAATAGTATAACTCATCCCAACTTATCCAGTAATTTAAATAGGTTTCGAACTATAGGTTTAAACTATTGCCATAACTTATACGAATATTCGTCAAGATTAGAACGAATAATTTGGCAGTAATTGAGCGCCGAGTATAGAGAAGTCATTATATGTGAAAATTATATTTGAAATATTCTCAGCGATTGAAATATAACTAATTCCAACGTTTCGTCCAGCTAACTTGTCTGGACTTCTTCAGGGTAATAATCGAAATTATCAAAGACATATATAGCTTTTAACAATCAGGATTATACTGTGTTAAACCAATCATATTTGGATGTCGATTTTTTGTAAAATAGGATCAAATGAATCAGTTAACTACAAATCATGTGAAGAATTCAACTACATAGAAATAATTAACTGAGTAACAAATCGTATGTGTGTGTGAGTGTGATGATAATTGGTTTAACATAGTATAATCCTGATTGTTAAAAGCTATATATGTCTTTGATAATTTTGATTTTGATTATTACCCTGAAGAAGTCCAGACAAGTTAGCTGGACGAAACGTTGGAATTAGTTATATTTCAATCGCTGAGAATATTTCAAATATAATTTTCACATATATTGCCATAACTGATTACATTTTCTACATGTTCTCATTATCTTTGTCATTCTGACTACTTATAGCTTCCTAGTGTTTTTAGTTTCTTGCTTTGATACAGTAGGATTATTCAAACAGTACAAGCTTGTTTTATAATAAATGAATAACCCCACAAATCTTATCATCTACCTCAGTATTACTCACATCAACAATTTTTAAGCTTTCGTTAGACCCTAAACAGTTTTACTCTGCTTGAATACATTTCTGTTTACCTCAGTGTTTTTATATCCTTGTCTAATTAGGAATTGAATGTACAAAAACAATGCCTACTTGATAATGCTAATCAATCGAAATTAGCTTATGAAACAGCTTCTAGTGAACTAAGAGCACAAGTGGTAAATTTATCCAATGATTTAATACGTGTTACTAATGAATTAAATAATACTGAACAAAAAGTTTATGAATTAACATACCAGTTAGAATCTACAACAAAATCATCCAGTAATAATAATGATTTAAATGGTGAACCAATCATAATTAATATTAAATCAGCCGAAACATGCATTAGTAAACAAGATGAACAACATGAAAACGAATTATTACATATTAGTAATAATAATATTTATGAAGATTTACGTAATCGATTATCCGAAGTTGAAACTAATTTCAATGTTGCTGAAAAAGAACGTGCCAAATTTTACAATCTTTATCAATCTGCATTAAATGAAGTGGATCATTACAAGGTAAAAAGTTCCATTGTTTCGTTTATTTTACATAGTATTCGTTGAATGATGAGGTAATTTACATGTTAAATATAAACAAAAGACTTTGAATCTTTGAGTGCATTAGAAAATTTCTCACCCCTCCCCAGTGGTCTAAAGGTTAAGCATTTGCTCACGAGATCGACCGTCCTAGGTTCAAGTCCCGTGTGCGGGGTTGTGGATGTGCACTGCTGAAGAGTCTTGTACTAGGAAGAAACGACCTCCCAGTGCTTCCAGGCTTTCAATGGTAGTCTAACTTAGATCAGTCCGTGATTTTAATGAAATTCAACAATCTCCACAACCTCATACTGACAAGTAAAATAAATTAGTTCGCTTGAGTAATTCTTTTCAAGGTTCTTTAATCGAACTTTGAAAAGCATTTTATCGAACATTTTGTAAGTTGTCACTTATTCAATCATGTTTATATGTTGATTATGTTTTTAATGTGATTACAAGTCATATGTTTACATGCGTATTGTATTTGAGTAAGAATATACACGACAAGTGGATATATTCATCTCAGTTATCATGTATGTCGCTCGTCTGTGTTCATCGAACTAAATGGAGCTGGACAAGCGTTGATTTGTTTTTGAAGTACTATTATCTGTAAACCTCTTAAGCTAAATAATTGTTTTTAAGTCTGTATTGCAAATTGTGTCAAGTATAGTTGAAAAAGCCATCCAAAATAGTAATTTCCTTCAGTTTGTTATTTTTGAAAATGTTAATTCATGTTTTACAAGTTAATTTCAAAATATATAATTTCTTGAGGCTATCGTTAAGGATGGCTTCCTCAATTCCCTGTCTGGATTGTCAACGTCATGCTCAGTAGGTATGTGTATCATCTCTAAGCTCTTAGTAATCTGTTGATCTTCGATAGATAGGGAGATTGACCTGATCTCCATCTAGCCTCTTGCCTTGGCTCATGAGACTAGATCCCACTATCTAGGAGGCACGACTTGGATGTATGAATCGGACTCCACCTTTATGTAGTAATAACAATTACACTGTTTTCATTCAGATTTACATTCTAAGTTTACTTAATTTTTTGAAAACTTCACACTGATATTGGGCTAACGCACATTTACACCAATCTCTACATTGGTTATGACTGACTGACATTGGTTTGCGTTTAGTTATCACTTCTAATCCATTATAAGTAACCTATTATTACACAGTTGTCTTGTTGAATATTCCATCTTTTTAATTACCAACTCATTTACCTGGAACAAGTTCGTGTACTTGGCTTCATAGCTAGTGGGACTACCTGGCTGTCCTAACTGAAGTAGATGAAGCGGAGTTCATGTCACTGAATTTTTCGCCTAGGATTTAACCTCACTCATACGAAGCAAGCAGTCTTACCACTCTAGTCTCTAACTAGATTAATGTTTCAGTTAATTGTATTATGTTCTTCTTGACTAAAACAGCTTCCCAAATTGGTGGTCTGATTAATATATACGGACTAAAATATATCTTGGATTTATCATCATTAGCAACTTTCGAATTTACGAATTCGTAACATAGGGCAGGTGTTTCTTTTTTTTTCATTTCTAACTTGTTTCATATTCTTATTGACTTTTAGTCAACTTTAATACAAACCGAAGAAGTTTTAGCGAAGCTAGAAGAATCTGTTAAACAGACAGAAAGTAAATGGCGTCAACTTTTATCAGAAAGCGAATTCGAACAGATTCAACTTCGTAAACAGTTATCAGAGTCTCAATCAATGTTGAAAGATGTAAGTTTGATTCAGTTAGTTGTTTACACTAAAACAAATTATTCTGTAAATTTCTAAATACTTCTCGTTTTATGTTCACTCTGTCTATTTATGCACCCGAATTAAATACTCAAGGGTCTGTTATAGCAGTGATTGTAACTTGGTTTTATGGGACATTTAATAATCTATCTAACATAGACCAGCTTGTTCAACTATCTGTGTTGGCGAATAAACAGCATTTCACAGCTTATCTGAACCCTACACTGTTTACTTTTTCATGTAATTATGTTTTATCAGTCAAAATACTATTCCCACATGAAACTGAGAAAGAGAAATTACGTTGTCGTCATTCATGATAAGCACCTTGCAATGATAAAATTACTTGTTTCAGTTGTAATGAAAATACTCATCCAATCTACTTACTAAATAGAGTTATCTTCCAACTGCTCTCTACGCACTTACATATGTTTAAGTCTAAACAGTAGACAAATAAGTATATTTGTATTTTTGATAATATTTTGTAAAAAAAAAATGCTGTCTTAAATTGGTAGATGGATGTGAAATGCATTTATGACAAACTGATTATATACTAAGTTGTCAATATCTTTTTCATGGTATGTTTGGAAAACAGCAGTTATATAGTCACTGTAAGAGTGATCATAGTAAACAATCTTATATTCATATGGATACAATAATATTGTTAGGCTTTTGTTAATTTCCACCAATTGTAGCACAAGTAATATGTTCACCTGCTTACTAAAGTGTGAGTAAATTGTCCCGAAATTCGCTATATGTTACTTTATGACTGTGAAACATAGTATACTAAATTTAAAGATTCGCTTTGATTGTCAGTATTCGATCACAGATTTCTTCAAAGCAATATAGGGAATATGGTGGATTAATGAAAATTAGTTGTTGGGGACCATTTAGAGATAGTAAATTGGTCAATGAGGCTGTAAACCATCATATAATAAGGTGGATGGTATTTGTGTTGTACATGCTCAACCGTCTCCAACACTAATTTGTTTAATATCAATTAACAATCATATTGTTCGTCTTAAATATATTTCCTGGTTGTTGCTTTAAATAGGCTAATATGTCCTGTAAACTGTGGCATAAAATAAAGATCTTTGCTTTCCTTATATAAACAGATATAAATAAATAACCATTTCCTTCAATAAAAGACCATAAAACTGTATTATTTTTCTGTTGAAAAAAAAGAGAATTACCACATTCCGATAAGAAATTTAACGGGTATTTAAAAGAGAAATTATTGTCTTATTGAACAGAATAACAAATAACACTCAAACCACTAATCTAAAAATAATAATAAAACTAATGCCAAGAAATCTCTTCATTACTTATGACAGTACATTTGAATCTTATCATAATGGTATCAACCATTTACTTTATGCTCACCATGCAGTATATACGTGCATGATCCTACATTGTAGCTGACTGACTGATAGATATAAGTTATTCATTTTCTTGTTGTTTTTGTGTTATCTTAATAAATAGATCACAGGAAAACTGAATCAAGCCGATGAAGGAGTACCTGCATTAAAGATTTGTAATGTTGGAAAGAGGCAAAAAAAGTCAAAAACACGTAAACCGGTAAGTTCATCATTATTTTAGTAGTAGTAGTAGTAGTAGTAGTAGTAGTAGTAGTAGTAATAGTAATCTTGGTTACATACATTTTCTTTTTACCCCAACTTGTACACAAAATGTGTATGTCTTAGACCATTTTGAAACTCAATTTTATTGTGTATCAATGGTTCCAATTAATAAAGGTAAATGGTACGACTCGATTATCAGTCCTAACTACTGGCTAACGTTGTCTTATAGAACTGCCTGGTATTATATCATCACTACTATCAACTCATTACCATATATAAATCCATGTGCTTTCTGTAAACCAGACTCTAAATATAAAGGTTATTAATATAGACTATTCGATTTCCGAAACCGAAATAGGGGGACGGAGTTCAAACTTGTCACTTAGTGGTTAGAATTTCGAACGAAACCATGAAGCTACCATTCTACTTGAATCGAAATAATTCCGGAACTGTAAGGGATATTTTTAGTTTCATAGCACCAAATAATCATATGATTGCTGACTGTTACTATTATTATAATTATCTAACAAATAAACCTTTGTTACCACTTGCAAATTCGTTACTATTTTCGCCCTCAACATCTATTAACGTATCATAGTCCATTAATTGATAAACTCTTTATTGTTTAACTCACTAATCCCCACATTCTTTTTGAATAAACTTAAATTTCTATTAAAGTAAAAAAAACTTCATCTAATTACCAAGATTTTGTAAAAGCAGCGAATTAGCGTATAATTCCCATGGAACATCTCAATGATAAAAATTAGCTTAGAGCAATTTGCAAACGCTTCATTAATTTTTGCTCATTTTACACTTGTTCTGTGCATAGTGGTTAAGGCGTCTGATTCGAACATCACTCCACCTATTTCACTTTGAGAAACCGAAGTATCTGGTTAATAATTCAATCAATTCATTTGTTGTTTTTTTGATCTATGCATTTCGATCTCACTTCCCTATTTCATCCCCATTTTGTTTTTCTAGGCAGACTCATCTAATGTGTTTACAGTAGTTGAATTAAATACAGAAAAAACTTCAGAGAATATTCATCCTATCGAACAGAGAATATAAATATTTATGATGAAAAAAAGCATTTTTAATAACTACTTGAGCATGTCAAACTCCATGATTTCATTACATTTACATATTTGCATACTTTCTGTTATTATATTAATATTATCCGTGTAGATTCATTCTGCATATACTTATATTGATATGCTTGAAGGCGGTTGTGTGTTCATGTAGCTCTTTGCATTGTTTCGCTTTTTTGCTTCCTTTCTTACTTACTATTTTAAACACTATTTTTTGTTTTCTCTATTTCTCGCGTCACTTTCATGTGTTATTGAACTTTATCAGGTCAGTATTATTTATTTTAACATTTTGTTTTCATGAATAAAATCATTACACAAAAAATACATTGTTTTGTGCTTATTTGTGTGTTAAATAATTCATTGAACGTCTTGTCGAATAATTCAAGTGTTTCTATGCCGGATTTAAGGTTTAGTGTTAGTTACTGTGTGTATTGATAGGTGGAAAGTTCTTGATCAATAATTTGTTCCTTTTAGAGGAAAATCAGTATTATTATGTCATATAGCCCGTCAATTATCGCATGATAAGATCACCGATCAGAACACCGATTTATACGACTTTGACCTTGTGTCAAACCAGTACAAGCAGCCTAGAGTCAACTCTTAGTCCTTCTTGGTTCTTCTCACCTAGCCCTGTTTGTTGAGTTCAGAACAAAATCTCAGCTACCACTATATGAATCATGTTTTTCAGACATACACAGTTTATGTATAAGCGAACCAGACCGTATCACACCACAAAATAGAAAATAACAATTATACACGATTAAGCCCAAAGTGTCTGTGAGTGTGAGAGACTGTAATTAATAAATCGGAAGTAAGTTAAGATTGGTAAATGGTATCGCAATAGCCAATAGGACAAACGAAAGGAATAAGAATATATATATATATATATATATATATATATATATATATATATATATATATATATAGTTACTGAATAATTATCCAGTAGGAATATATGTAATGGTAGTCCATTTATAATTCCTAACAGTTATTCTTCATTGAGATATGTCAGGTTTCTTATCGATTTTTAGAAGCTGAATGAAGTAAATATCCAATGCTTTCCTAACTCATATCAATTTGTGATTTAACCTACTTCTAATTATTAAAAAGAATCAGGGAACATTCAGTAAAGGTGGTTGTCAAAATCCTTCTATTCAGGATAATTTTTGCGTATAGGCTCGACTAGCTTTTGCCAATTTGCGTCATTTATGGCGTAGGCGAGATATCCGTCTATCAACCAAAGGACGTGTTTACTGCGCAGCAGTTCGTTCCGTCCTACTTTATGGCAGTGAAACATGGCCGGTAAGAGTACAGGATATTCGTAGGTTACTAGTATTCGATCATAGGTGTCTTCGAAACATTGCTCGTATATCCTGGGACCATCGAGTAAGTAACGCAGTTGTTAGGAAACGGGTACTAGGTAAGGATGGCAAATGAATTGATGAAGTGGTGAAACTTCATCAGTTGAGATGGCTGGGACACGTGTTACGTATGCCCAACGACCGTTTGCCCCGACGTGCGATCTTTCATGGTGTAGGAGTGGGCTGGAAGAAAGTTAGGGGCGGCCAGACCAAAACATGGCTCAAGTCCATGAAGTCACTGACAAGTGAACTGAGTCATGTCGGTAGGTGTAGACTACCTGGTTGGGGACCGCGAGATGATAGCAACCGATGGTTAGAGACCTTGAATGACATGGCTCAAAATCGTTTGCAATGGCGCAGGTGCATCCACTCTTTGTGTTCTCTCAAATTTTGATCTCCTGATCCTCCCTTGTCTCTTCTTTTTCTCTTCCCAAGTTTATTTCACTGTATTATACTCTTTAAGTAACATCTTCAAACACTAATCTTTCCGATTACTGCTTATACTCTTATTACCTGTACCACTACGGGATTTGAATCGACTACTGCATCTCTGTGCTAATGTGGTGTGGCAACTCGAACTGATGTACGTACGTACAAAGTTCTACGTTGTTACTGACTGACTGACTGACTGAATTTTTGCGTATCACACTATCATACCAACATTTAATGTGTTTATGTTAAATAAAGTATTGAAATAGGGAAAACACAAACACCTGGTTTCAAAAAAAAATTTATCTCCTTTTTGTTTTAATCATTGGAATGTTGTTGTTTTTCTCTTTTTATAATAGAAGTAAAATGTTTTATGACATGGACACATTTTTATATGAATAACTATTTACAATTTTCACTGTTATCATCACCCATCTCCTCTTTTGTTTTTTGGCATCCTTCTCATGTGATTTACATGTGATCAAATTTACTTTTACATATTTCACAAGGTTATTTCTAAGTTTCTTTTTAACCTTATAACATTGTATCTATATAAACTGTTAAAAGAATAATTGACTATTTAAGAAATAAGATTTACTGAAATCTCTAAATAGTTTCACTTACTTGTTTGTCCTTCATTTAAAACAAAGAAAACAATTTTAAGTTATTGTGTCACAATGTTGTTTGAACTATTAACGAATCAACCATAGAAATTGTAGAAGCATATTTTACAAATCTTTATACTGGTAAATTCTTTTACTGTAACTATTATTAGGTTAACTAATTGTCATTTAGCTTCCTTTTTATATAAATTCAATGTATGTAATAAAATAACTGTATGATTTTTTTTCAGATCATCAAGAAGAATAAACATGAGATAGGAAAGTTTCGAGATTTTAATATTCGTTTTGTTCTTACTATGTGCGAAGAAAACCTGTAGAAGTACTATACGAGTAATAGATCCCAAGTGCTCTATATATCTATGTGCGATATGATTTATAAAATTTCATATACGGTTGTTAATCGATAGGTTTCTTGGTCTGAACCCCATCTTATCCATTTACGTCTGATCAGCTCAAATGTATCGATAGTCTTGACACAAACATATTAGATTAAAGCTGGGTACAGAATAGGTGGACTTGATAAATGAATTGCATTATTAGAATATATCAATGTGGTAACTATTATGATAAAATAATCAAGTTGATAATTTACACAAAACCAATACCTGAACACAATACGAAAAAACAACAGAAACACTGGTCAACGGATAGAATATTAAAACAATCCACCGTTTGTCCATATATTGTTCATCCTAGATAGTATGACTGTCAGCAATTATTCCGATATCAACCGAATAATCAAAAATGAAGTTTCAAATTATTGATTAAGCTTTACTGGGCTGCATATTCAATATAATTTAATAGGCCTCAAACAGTTACGATTGGAATTATTAACCAATATTTGTAACCTAATGTTGGTAGATTAGTGAATACAAGCTGAAGGGAAATCTGGGATACAACCGACAACCATGGGACAAATTAATTCTGCATTATAACGTAGTAGTTTGGTTAGAAGATTATTTTTAATTCGTAAACTTATTCGTTGGTTTATTTAGGCAAATCTTATTTGCCGTACAAATAATCCAACTTCATGAATATATACTATATAATAAATATTTACAAACTAGTCAGTCAGTCAGCAACAATATAGAACTTTGTACGTACGTACATCAGTTCTAGTTGCCATACCACATTAGCACAGAGATGCAGTTGTCGATTCAAATCCCATAGTGGTAAAGATAGTCAGTATCAGTCACTAAGCCGTGAAGTTTGAACAGTAATTCATAAAATGGTTTGTATATAGTTATATTACACATAATAGCATAGTTTCAATGTTCACTTATTATAACTATAGATTTCTAAAAAAAAACGTTGACGTTATTAGAACGTGATAAAACATTTCATGTTTTAATTCTATGCGATTTTAGTTGATTGGTACATCCGTTTTCAATTCAATGTGTTATTTATTCATCATAACACACGTTTTATTTCGGTGTGAAATTTATTCGGTATAATATTCCTTGTATTAATTTAGTATACAATTTATTCAATATAAAATAGAGTATACATTTTGTTTATTCGTTTTGTATTTCCCCTATTTCAGTCATGCGTTATTGATCAAATCAGTCAGTCAGCTACAACGTAGGACCAGGCACAAATATGCATCGGTCCAAGTTGCCATAGCTCATTAACACAACAAGATGGACACCAGATTCATAAAAGTAGTTAATTCAAATGTAGTAATATATAAAAGAAAGATGGCAATAATGATATAGTACAGGAAGAAAGAATTAGTTCGTAGAAAGAAAGATATGGAGCGATTTTAATCTCATAGTTTAAGAGAAGACAGAGAGTGTATACACCGACGCCATTGTGATCGATTCTGAGCCATGTCACCAAGAGTCTCCAACCATTGGTTACGATAGTCACATTGAACCCAACCAAGTAGTCTGCATCTACCAACATGGCTCAGACTAGAAGTTAGTGACTTCAAGCACTGATGCCACGTTTTGGTTTGGCTGCCCCTAATTTTCTTCCAGCCATCCCCAACACCGGTTAACATTGCACGTCGTGGTAATCGGTTTATTGATCTAATGCCATTAAAAATAATACATAAATAAGTGCATTTAGTTTAAGTAGTTATTGTGTTTTGGAAGGGTGATTAAAATTTTTACCCCTCGTCATCAGCCTTTTTTTCTTTCCTTGGATTGTACGAATCTTTTAGTTTTTCCTGTTCCAAGTTTCGATTTCCATGGGGAAATTCCGCTCTGCCTCTTGAAATGCTCTGAAATAGCCACACGTATATAGCCACTATCAAGGAAGTCCTACTCATTGCCTTCTCGTAGCAACAATTAAGTTTCAAATGTTACACAGTAGCACAAAGAGGAAACGATTTAGAAAATACAAATATATTTTTATTTGATAAGTTGTACACGTATTAAGTTAGTTTATTTAGTGAATGAAAATGTTAGCTTCAACAGTATTTAAAGGTCATCTCAAAATTTTTTTCAGATCAGCATAAGTAACTTATAAATGATATTTAAGTATTCCTATGATCTAAAGAAATTTATTAATATAACTAGTAGTGTTCCATATAACTCGATAAGGATACGAGATTCAGTTTTACCACTATTCATATTCTTAAATAACACATCTATTCACTCTAGGATCATTGCTGCTCTCAAGTCCGGATGAAGGAAGAGGGTCGTACATGAACTCAGCGACCGCACCCCGTAGAAAATAACCTTGCTAAAACACGCTTATCAGAAAAAATCTAAACTTTGACTTGTGAGTTGAAGGATCTTTATTCAGACGAGTTATGACGCCAAAGTCGGAATGGACAACGCCGGATATGAGGATATCATGGGAAGACATGAACTGAGTGGGAGAAAGAAACGAGGATGGTGATATTTGCAAATTTATGCGCATTCCAAAAAATGGTTATAAGTAGCAGAATATTCCCA